ACTCCAAATGGTATTCCACCGCATGAATTGAAACTTAAGATAAATTGTCATGTCATGTTATTAAGGAACATCAATCATTCTGAAGGGTTATGCAATGGAACACGCCTTACTTGTAGAGAATTTGATAAGAATGTAATTCTTGCTGAAATAACAACTGGTGAATATTGTGGGAAATATGTTTTCTTACCAAGAATTCATTTTGTACCTCTGAAAAATGATCAAACTTCAATTTATTTTAAAAGAACTTAATTCCGATTAGACCATATTTTGCAATGACGATAAATAAAGCACAAGGTCAGACACTTGATTACATTGGTTTGTATCTTCCTGAATCAGTTTTCTGTCATGGTCAGCTTTATGTAGCATTGTCAATAGCTAAAACAAGCAAATCTTTAAAGATTTTACTAAAATCATTAAGCACTGACAATTTACACAGTACATGTACAAAAAATGTTGTCTACAGAGAAATTTTTTCATTCATTCATTTGTAGAAGTAGAACTTCTTTTTAAGTATTTGTCACATATCTTAGTTACTCATTGTTACAATTATATTGTTGGTTTATGTTATTTCTTTTTTCTATAACTAATCTAGCTTTAGAATATTTCAGGCTTTATGATATGTGTGTATAGTTTTCACACTTACTTGGATTTATGACAATATAGTACTCTAAAGTTACAAACGCGATGGAAGTACCATGATGGTCTATTTTTCTTCGGCGTCTTCTTTCCTGTAAGCTATCCCAACGTTTCACCTGTATGTTTAAGATATTTTTGTGCCCAACCGCTTGTACACCTCTGAATATGTCAATACATTGTCTTCCATTGATGCTAACTCACTTGTTGTTACAACAAGTCCATTACCACTCTGGTGGACTTCGCATCAATCCAAACTTGTACAATTGTGGCAAAGTATGCTCAAGCCTTCTCAATACTTGGAGTGGTAGTCAGAAGGAGAAGTAGATCCCTGATGTGTAAACTATGCTACAAGTTTTGGTCTCTAGACAAGGCCTAATTTTGAATGCTAAGCTCTATTTTAATGAGCATAGACATGCAAATATGAGCGATTCAACAAGTGGAGAAAAGTGTTCTCTAGTATACAATAAAAATACTTTTATCCATTCTCTCCAAACGATGGTGTACATTATGAGGCGGCCATCGAAAGTAAGATGAAATTGAGATCCTCTCTATGTACTATTGTTATTATTAGGCATTTCGATCCTTGCATATTTTGATGGTTAATTTCAATTTGTTCTTTCCTTTTGGGCGACGACTTCATTATATACTGATTTGAGTTTTGTGTTGTATTGCTCGTAGCATTTTGAGGACTTTGTGGTAGGGCATTTCTGTAAGCGTTCTCGTGATATTCTGATAGTATGTAAAGCCTACATAAAAGGCGCTTAGGTGGGTTGTCTTGTCAAAAGGGGCGTTCAAGATGTTGACGAGGGTAATAAGAGCTACTCACAAGATTTTAAGGCCAATTTGGCACGGTTAATCACTACTTTGGTAAATGCATTTTCTCAAATTGGCATGAAGGAATGTCGAGAGTTCATTTGTTTAGCTCAAAAGGCAAATGTACAAGTTCATACTGCAACCGAGGTCCAAAACTTTTATTACTAGATTAAGTAAATTAAAATTTATATTTGAGCTACGTATTTTGCATACAAGACATGCTCATCTTGAATTTTATTTTTGACTTCTCAGATTGTATTTAAAATTGCATATCAGTAAATGTTAATGACTTCAAGATGCTCACCGTGCATTTTATTAAATAAAATGTCTTTAATATTGTATATTTAACTTTGTTTATCCTTCTAAGATTTATTTTCCTATATTCTATATTATTATATTGCCTTGTCAATCAGCTTTTCATAATTATATACAGTTAGTTGAACAATTGCATTTACTAGGATAATTTAAATTGCTCATATCTAACATTCAAAATATAATTCACAATAATTTAACATATTTACCACACTAATATTACCTTCAAAATAACTCAACCCGTGCATCGCACGGGCAAAAACTAGTATAATTAAAAATTATAATAAAATAAATGGTATTATGATGGATTAAAATTTATAATAAAATTACAGCAAATAGTATTAAATAATAATAAAAGAAAATCTTGTTCGCTATATTATTTAATCGTCTCTAATACTGTATATCAAACATGACTTAAGTTACATTAACTTTCTACTAGGGATAAATTTGTAATTTCATTTCACTCTCTTTTCTATCAATAAACTATTTTAGAAAATTGTTTAGTTAATTTTTGCCTCAAATTGAACTTTCATACACTATTGCAACTAATATGATGTAAGAACTGGAGCAAGAGTTAACATGAACAGATTTACATGTCAAATTTATCGATTATTTAATTTTGATACTGCTAACTTCATTTATTTGAAGTAACATTCAATTAAAATTACCATTTTGTCTACCTTAACTAACTTAAATATCTTGAAAGAAGTTTTCTTATAATAGAAATCTATAAAGAAATAATTTTCACCATTGTCCTCAACCTATTGCCTTAATAGCAAGTCGATCCTTAACTTAAATATCTGGCATGATGTAACTATAGAAAAAATTTGTATAGCTGGAAAGTTTGTATAGTTTGTTGTTTGGAAATGCAAGAGGTGATTCTTTATCACAGTAATTAAAACTTATCGAAACCTAACCGACTTCAAATAGAAAGTTGGACTCTTATACCAAAGGAATGAAATGCAAACGATCGAGATAAGAGTTGAACTATTTGTCATTAAGACGAATTTGTTTCACACAAGTGTCTAATCGACTTTCAAGATATAACGATTAACTTCGAGTGATTGTGGCATTTCAAATCAAGAGAAATGTCGAACCAAACAAAATTTCAAACTCCTTTTTGTATGGAAAAAAAAAAAGGAAAAAGTTTTGTAATTTTACGAAACTTAACATGAATTTTAGCAATACCCCCTTATTATTTGGGGTCCTTGCTGGATTGGCACTTATCGTATCAATCCTAGCATTCTTAACCTTATTTCAAACTTTTGTGTGAAATTAATTTTTTTCGTCCTCTTGTGGTTTATTTGACTGTTAAAAGGTCAATATTTTTATTGCAAAGTCTACAATATCCTTAATTTTAATTTTTGAAAAGAAAAAACCAATACCAATACCAGGAAAAAATAAATAAGAAATGAAAAAAAAAAAAAAAAAAACACTATGAAGGCTTTTTTCATTTTTTATTTTCTGTGAAGTCTTTTTAATTTCTATTTTAATTTTTTTCTTAGTTTTTAATTTTTGTATTATTTTAAATAAAGTTAGACATATTGTAATTTTTTTTTTTTTGCCAAAATATTAGCTTTTTAATAGTCAAATAAACGACATCTAACAAAAATAGTGATTTACGCAGTAAAATGTTGAAATGATGTTAAGAATGTCATGATTGCAATAATATTCAACAATTTCATGGAGTACCCAAAAGATAAGTGGTAATGTGGAACTCTGCGCATAAAAAATGGTATGTTGAGGATGTGAATGCTAAAAGAAATAGAATTAGGACACGTTTTCTATTAATATGGATTCTGTACTAAAGCCGCAATTTCCCCACTGATAATTTAATTATTCAGTATATATGCGCGAACATGCACCAAGACCCACACCCCCTTCTTTTCTCTCTCTCTCTCTGTGCACTCCTCTTCATCCCCTCTCTGCACCTCCACCTCCACCTCCCAGAACCACCACTTGTTAAGGTGGGCTACAATTTCGTGATATTATCTCTCAATCAGATTCTGTGAAAAAATCAATCAAAGATGGCCTATGCTGCTGTATTATCTGTTGATCAGATTCTGGAGCAGATATCAAATCCTCATCTCGAACAACATCAGACTCCTCTTCAGGACCAACAAATTAAATCTCTCCAGGAAAATTTGAAATTCTTACTAGATTTTCTGGATGATTCTTGGCAGAGAAGGAGCGAGGAACTCCGATGTTTGGAAAGGGAAATTCGAGATGCAGCTTACAAAGTTGAAGATATCATGGAATCCCATATATCAAAGAATTTTGGTCAGGAAAGTTTTCGTGAAAGACAGATCAGAGACAAAACTTTTTGTGAAAACTTCGAGATAGTAGCAGATGAAATTGATTCCATTAAGACGAAGGCAGCTAAGCTTAAGGAATTGAGGGGCGCAACAGATCTGCACCATAGCCAGATGATTTCTTTGCCAACTGGACAATCAAGACTTCCTTCAATCGGCAAGAATGATATGGTCGGGTTTCGTAAAGATCTGATGGAAATAATAGATCGACTTACTGGATATCCATCTGCTCTTCAATTCATCCAAGTTACTGGCATGGGAGGCAGTGGCAAGACAACTCTTGCTAGAAATGTTTACAGTGATCCACTTATTGAACACCATTTCGACATTCGTGCCTGGACATCAATTTCTCAAGAATATCGTGAGCGAGAAGTCTTGCTGAGCCTTCTGGATTCCATGGAACAACTCAGTGATGAAATGCGTCAAGAGAATGATATTGGAAAATTAAAAGGTAAACTATATAAAAGTTTGAAAGGTCAGAGGTATCTTATTGTGATGGATGACGTTTGGACTACTGAAGCTTGGGATTCTTTGAGAATGATATTTCCAGACGACGGGAATGGAAGCCGGATCATGTTGACAACACGTCTAACAAGTTCACTTGTCCACGAAAACTCCCATAGCTATCTCCATCGTATGCAATTTCTAACTAAGATTGACAGTTGGAATCTACTTTGTCGGAACGTGTTTGGGAAAGATGCTTGCCCTTCTGAACTGGAGGAAGCTGGAAAGAAGATTGCAGAGAATTGCAAAGGACTTCCACTTACCCTTGTCGTGATTGGTGGTCACCTTTCCAACGCCAACAGGACAAAAGATCACTGGGAGTATGTTGCACAAAATGTCAAGCCAACTGATGCAAACTGCTCAGAAATACTCTCTCTAAGTTACGATCACTTGCCTCATTACCTCAAAGCATGCTTTCTCTATATGGGAGTTTTTCCAGAAGATGATAAAATCCGTGTCTCCAAACTCATCAAGTTATGGGTTGCAGAGGGATTTCTAAAACCAGTCACAGGTAAAACCTTGGAAGAAGTGGCAGAGGAATATTTGGGAGATCTAATTTCTAGAAATCTTATTATGATTAGTGAGAAGAGTTCTAGAGGAAAGATAAAAACCTGTAGCATCCATGATATGTTAAGGGACCTCTGCTTAAAGAAAGCCCAGGAGGAGAAGTTTTTTCATGTCAGAGATAAAGATAACATTTTTCCTGAAAGCATAAAGTATTCACGTCGCCTGTGTATTCATCCAGATATTCTTCACGAGGAATTCGAAGGTTACCAGTCCATGGGATCCTTGCCAGCTCTCCGTTCTATTTTCATTTCCAGAAACGGCGGCCACATATTCCCTAGAGACCAGATTAATGAATTAGTTGATGGAAAACTTTTTCCACTGCTCAGGGTGTTGGATCTTAATCAACGTGAAGATGGTCCCCGATTTGGAGGAATAGAATTAGATCACGGAGAAATAAAATTAGTTCACTCAAGGTACCTTGCTTTCCCCTGTAATGGGAATGTTTCCATGCCTAAAATATTACCTGATTTTCTTAGGTATCTACAGACCTTAATTGTAGATTGTGAAGAAGTACATTTACCAGAGGAAATATGGAGGATGACACAATTAAGGCATCTCCTGTTCGGGAAGTATCTCTTGTTCGGGAAGTGTTATTTGCCATGCCCTACTAGATCACCAATAGCTGGGGAGAATTTTGTTCTAGGAAACCTTTTAACACTTTCAAAAGTGAGTAGTTCCAGCTGTACCAAGGAGGTCTTTAAAAGAGTTCCAAATCTAAACAAGTTAGGGATTTTGAGTGACTCCAGTAATATCTCTCTAGGTATTCTGGTAAATCTTCCTCAACTCGAGACCTTGAAAATCATAAGTGCACGTGTTAGGGTCCCGATAAATTTTACTTTCCCACCAAATATCAAAAAGTTAACTTTACAGGGTTTCAAAATTGCTTGGAAACACATGACTATTGTTGGCTCCATGCCCAAACTTGAAGTGCTCAAACTGCTAGATGCCGACTCTTGGAGGCCAGAATGGAGGCCAGAATTGGAGCCAGAATGGGAGCCAACTGAAGGAGAATTTTGCAAACTAAAATTTCTGCTACTTAGTACTCGTTATCTAGTGCAATGGAGAGCCAATAACACTAACTTCACAAGCCTCGAGTGCCTAATGCTTAGGCAATGTTCCAACCTAAAGGAGATCCCTTGTAGCTTTGGAGAAATACCAACTCTTCAAATCATTGACTTGGATAATTCTAGCCCTTCAGCTGTGATTTCGGCAAAGAAAATACAAGAAGAACAAGAGAATTTCGGAAATGATGGCCTTCAAGTTCGTGTCAAGAGGTGGTTGGACTCGGACCTTCCAGAGGTAAAAGCGATACTTATTGTTGCTTGTAACTTGTAACTGATCATTTCTCTATCTCAAGAATATCTACAGATCTTTATAATGAAATTTTAGCAAGCATGACCATTTTTCTCTCTGTTTTTTTAACCACTCAAACCACTCTAGATTTGTCTTACTAATGAAGAAAATAAACACAAAATTTAGAAGGGCCCCGGCCGGACCTCAATTAAAGGTCAAAAAAAAAAAAACTTGTCTAAAGCTAAAGACTATACTTCATGTACTCTTTTCATACTTCTGATCATTTTAGGTCAGGAATAGTGTCTCTCCTGCTGCTCATGGTTACTTTCATTCTCGCTACTTAAAGGGGATTTTGTAAATTTAATATCATATCAAAGTTCGAGAAGTCCACATCTTTTTCATATTCTCGACAAATATATCCAAAAGGTTCCCTAGAATGCTTCATCGCCCTTGGACAGAAAGGTGATGCCTTCCCTCTGACCTCATAACTCAGCAACTGCTGGCTTCAGCAAGTATGACTTGCACTGCAGCTTATATATGAAAAATCCACAACATTTTATTAGTTACAGAAGTATAAAAACAAGACACATCCTCTCTTGGAAACCAAATTTGAAAGAAAAATGTGTCTTTTCTGCATAATGAAATAGTTCTTGCAAGTATGTAATTATGTGGGACATTTAATTGAGTAGAACTAGTTGTGTAAACTTCATTATTAATTTCTTCCAATTGCAACAGATCAACGAGGCTGAAGTAATAGCTAACCTTGAGTCAAATGACGTCAAACTGCAATTCAGAGCCTGTCGGAATATAACCTGGCTTATTTCTGGTAATCCATTAATTTACTTCTCTTGAAGCCAATTAATTCGATATAAATCTAATTACTGTTTAAGCTATTTTCTCTTCTCTCTGATTCCATTTGCTTTCAATTAATTAGTTTCCAGAGGCACAAATCCAGATTTGAAGGAATTCGTACCTGGAATTGTTCCTCGACTCCGCGAGTTACTTGGTAGAGATGATTACCCAGTGCTTCAGGTTTAAATTTGTGCTTTCAATTGCTTCTCCTGTTTATTTCATGTGTTTCAACTGCTAAATAAATTGAGTTATTCACTTTCTTAGCTTGAGGCAGTGAGGGCTATATCAGTAATTTCAGATTATTTACCTGACAACATCGAATTCAACATCCTGATTGAAGAGGTTGCAGTTCCCACTATGGCGAGCCTTCTTAGTTCTCCCACGGATGAACTTCGCAGAAAGGTAGGTGTTATGTTGTGATTTTATTGCAAGTGTAAGATGCCAATCAAATAAGTACTATACTCGACTTGAGAATCTTGTCACGAGGACCATTTGATTAAAATAATGAAAAATGTCATAAATAGGCTATTTATGGTTATACTTGATGCGTGAAGGATTCACGAGTTCACCATTATTATCTCTTTAATATCAATTACCAAATCCCGACAATAGTTAATTATGCTTACTTGATCAAATTCTTCTAAATTAATTGATTTACTCCTTTCGAGTTCAAATTAACTAACTGAATTAAGTCAACTCACGTCTCTACGCGATTCCCAATATGCTTTAATCAAAAGCATTCAATCATTAAAAAGTTAATTAATAATACATGAAGTGTATCTCTACTATCTAAATTTTGAATTTTACTACATGATCTAAAAAAATAACCCATCTTTTGATTCTTTGCTTTTCACAAATTATTGAATTGGTGATTATCGTAACTCAAAGTCGTAAAAATAATAAGAACAATACACAAATATCAATTAAAAATCAACACATGATAACTGAAATTAAGATTCAAATTAGGTTACAACATTTTATTGTAAGTATTAATTTAGTTAAACATGATGGGAAATTTTGTATTAAAAGGAAAAATTAGAAAATTTTGAAGTCCTTTCACCAAGAATCATCTTCTTCTACGCCAAATTTTGAAAAACCTATTTTTTCCCTTTACTTTTTCTCTTTTTTTCCTCTAATTTTTGGATTTTGGAACATTGTTTCCCCTTCATTTTGAAAAAAAATTAAAATAGGGTCCTTATATAGTGGTAACAAACCCTTGAGTATTGTGCCTCTAAAAGACTCAAAACAGATCAAGAAAATTAGAAACAACAAAAACTTTAGTACCATTTGTTAACAAGAATGTATGTAAACCATTTTTTAACAACAATGTAACCTTGTAACCATTTTTTAAGATTTTATTATTATTTTTCACTTTTCAACATTAAATTGTAAACCAAGTTTTTGAGCTTTTAGCTTTATATTTTGATCCTCCAACTTTTTATCTCATCAGGTTTGGTCCTTTTACTATTTAACATGTCCAAGTTAGTCCCTTAACTTTAGTATGTTGCACTTTGGTCTCTATTTCAACATTTTTTGTCTGATTTGGATCCTTTTCACTCCAATTCTTCAATATTTGATCTCACAAGTTTCAAAATCTTCCAGATTGTTTCCCAAACCTCAACAATCTTCCATAAGTAGTCTTTCTTAAGTTCCAAAATTATGCAAATTAGTCTCCAAACTTCATATAAGTTGAATTTCACTTTAGAAACCAGCGACATTCCTCCCATTTATCTCTTAATACTCAATATCGATCCTCGTGCAGTCCGGTTAATCTTCATTTGCTCCAAATCAACTATAAATTAGCTAAAAACCTTCCTTTTTTGCATGAATGCTTTATAATTGGGTTTTACCTACAATTATCATATCTATACTAAATTATGTAGGAATTCACTCAACTATAAATTATTTATCAAGTTTAAATATCACGGATAAGCGTGTATAAACACCTTATCAAGTTGTAAATGTTGAAGTATTACAATCAAATCAAGAATCATACAAAGCAGACACCCGAGAAAGAATAATGACCAATATGCTGAAGTAATGCTATGTATCACCATTTATGATCATCAATGGATCTATAGGTAACATTAAATTATATGTTCAATTAAATGGGTCGTGTAGACCAATGATGAGCACTATTCAACACATAGCATTATTCAATTTGTTGACGTAACGTCCACAGAGCTGGAAGATGAACTCAATCTGCACTACGAGTACTATTGCTACAGTTTACAAGTTGATGGCACATAGGAGATGCGCCCAGTGGAAAACTCCACTCCTAATCTCTGAATCTCTCTCCGGATTGAAGCTATTACATATTAGCTCAAGAAAAATAACTGAAAATTCAACATAACTGAATCCCTATGTTAGGGATATGTTCGTCCAACCTTTTTACAAATTGATAAAGACTAATACGAGCTTTGAATTTTATTTCGTGGCTGCTTTTGACTGTTTGTCCAACTATTTTATGTAGGCACTTCACGTGTTAGGAAACTTTGCCTCTGACTCAACAAAATCTCGTGACCTAGTCCTTAGTCATGAAGTGTTAATGCCCTTATTGGAACAATTTAATCATAAAACAAATCTAGCCATCATGGGTGAGGCAACGAACACATTGTCAAAGCTTTGTCTGAGAAAGCCTCAGTTCAAGCAGGTTTATCTTCTAATTGGTTTTTTGTTCGATTTTGATGCATATCAATAATGCTGGACCTTTATATATTTAACCAATTCCTTCTGGATATTACTGAGCAGGTGAAATCTGCCATCCTACCTCTTGCTCATCTGAATTGAAAAACTTAACTAAAAGAATTTGTATAAGCTAAGACTTGATTTCAGTGAATTGAAAAACCTTTTAATAAGTATTACATAGAACCTGTATATATATATACACGAGTGAAGAGAGAGATATGCTAAACAATATTCCCTTGTACCCTATACAAGATTGCCAAGTGTATAACAAATATTATTCTCCCACTCCTAGAAATAAGGAGTGATCCAAGCACTGAGAAACAGAATATTGTACCAGCTCGTGAGTGAGGAATGTGGTATCCATCATGACTGATTAATTTGTTGATTAATTTTAACTCCCCCCTTCAAGCTAGAGTGTACTTCAACCACTCCTAGCTTGTCTCTAAAAAACTGAAACTTGTGAGAGTTTAGCGGTTTTGTCAACACATCTGCAACTTGATCTGATGATGGTACGTAATCAATTTCCAGCTCCTTGCTAAGTACTTTATCTCTAACAAAATGAGCATCCAGCTCGATGTGCTTTGTTCGAGCATGGTAAACAGGATTGGAGGCCAACGCACTTGCTCCCAAATTATCACACCAGATTTTAGGAAGTACTCTCTGTGGTATACTCAGCTCCTTTATTAATGATTGTATCCATGTAATCTCAGAAGCTCCATGAGCTAAAGCTCGGTATTCTGCTTCTGTACTAGATCTGGCCACAACATGTTGTTTTTTGGAACACCATGAGACCAGATTTCCTCCCAGATACACGCAATACCCTGCTGTAGACCTCCTGTCGTCTGGGCATGATGCCCAGTCAGAATCAACAAATGTAGTGATTCCTAGGTTCTCATTTCTTTGAATTACCAGGCCGTGTTTTAAGGTGCCTTTCAGATATCTAAACACTCTCTTGAGTGTTCTCCAGTGCACATCTGTAGGACTTTGAAGGAATTGACTCATCTTATTTACGGCATAGGTGATATCTGGTCGAGTATGTGCTAAATACTGGAGTCCTCCTACTGCACTTCTGTAGAGTGTTGGATTCTTCATGGTTATTCCTTCATCTTTGGAGATTAACTTCCCTACTGCCATAGGTGTTGAGCACGATTTCAGGTTATCATATCCAAACCTCTTAAGTAAATCAGTAGCGTATTTAGCCTGAGTTAGATATAGCCCTGTTTCATCTCTACACACTTCAATCCCTAGGAAATGTTTGAGTTTACCCATGTCCTTAAGAGCAAAGCAAGAATTCAGCTGATCAATAAACGTTTGCAGCTTGTGGCCATCACTTCCCGTTACAACAATATCATCTACATACACCAATGCAAATAGGATACTGCCCTCGTCCATCAAGAAGAAGAGTGAATTATCTGCTCTTGATTGCTTGAACTTCCATTGTAGTAGTGTGTTTTTCAGTTTTTCATGCCACGCTCGTGGGGCTTGCCTAAGTCCATAGAGTGCCTTATCCAACTTGCAGATGAATTTGGGATTTTTCTTATCAACAAAACCTTGCGGTTGATCCATGTAGACCGTCTCCTCCAACCTCCCATTTAGAAACGCATTGTTAACATCGACTTGTCTGATTTCCCAATCTTTGAACACTGCTAGGGTCAAGATAACTTTCAGAGTTGCAGCCTTGATTACTGGACTGAACGTTTCTCCAAAATCAACTCCTGGCGTCTGCAGAAAGCCTTTGGCAACAAGCCTTGCCTTGTGCCTTTCCACCTTACCATCTGGCCTGTGTTTCAACTTAAAAACCCATCTGTTACCAATCACTTTCATGCCTGGTTCTGGAGGTACTAATTTCCAAGTTCTGTTACTCATTAGTGCGTTATACTCCTCTTGCATTGCATCCTTCCAATCAGCACTTAGCAGAGCTTCATTGACACTGCTTGGCTCAATTTCAACTTTGTCTAACTATTGGCTTAGGCAGGTGTATACCTTTGGCTTAAAAATTCCTGCCTTACTCCTAGTAATCATGTGATGACTAACCTCCTGTGGTGAGTTCTCTATGTCAATGTCAATGCCTCCATCAGATTCAGAGTTCTGTTCTTGCTCAGTCATTTCAGGAATTGCAGATGCTATCTGGTTCAACTCTTCTCTATCATTCTCTTCAACTTCATTTGCTTCACTACTAATTTCAGGATGTAATTCCCTGTTAAAAGATACTGCTGCAGGGGTGGTGATAGGATGACATGTATCAGCCCTGCCTTTTGTAGAGATAGGAGAATTTAGTTGGAACTCAAAAGGAAGGTTACTCATGACAATTTCAGATTTTTGTGGCTGACTCTGTTTGTTTAAGAAACCGGTTTTAAAGGGAAATTCTGATTCATCAAAAACTACGTGCCTCGAGGTGTAGATTCGACCTGTGGGACTTAAGCATTTGTAACCTTTATGTGCATCACCAAAGCCAATAAAGACACACTTCTGAGAGTGAAAACTAAACTTGTGGTTTTGATAAGGCCTCAAACAAGGGTAGCATGCACATCCGAAGGTTTTAAGCATTTTATAATCGAATTCTCTTTTGTAAAGAATTTGAAAAGGGGATTTGTGTTGGAGTGTAGGAGTAGGTAATCTGTTTATCAAATAGGTTGATGTTTTAAATGCTTCCCACCAATAGTGTAGTGGTAATTTTGCTTGAGCTAAGAGAGATAAACCAGTTTCAGCTATGTGTCTATGCTTTCTTTCAGCCCTTCCATTCTGAGCTGAGGTGTAGGGACATGATAACCTAAGTTCAAAGCCTGACTGTGATGCAGCTTGCTCAAATTTTTTATATTCACCCCCTCCATCTGATTGTACAGTCTTAACTTTCCTTTCAAACCTAGTTTCAACTAACTTTTTGAACTGGATAAATATGTTAAGTGACACAGACTTGTGCTTCATAGGATAAATCCAAGTAAACCTAGTGTGGTCATCTACAAAAATTATGTAGTACTTAAAACCTGAGGTGGAACTAACAGGTGCTGGTCCCCAAACATCCGTGTGTATAAGATCTAGAATATTCAAAGCATGAGAGGATGATAGGTTGAACGGCAGAGTATGTGATTTCCCAAGTTGACATGCTTCACAAAACTTCAAATTTTCATTAACTTTGGCAACTTTATTACAAGATTTCAGAACTTGACTCAATACTGAACCTGAGGGATGGCCTAGTCTCCTATGCCAGACCTCTAAATCTATGTTTGACACTTTAGTATTTTTGACTGACTCATTGACACTTAAACAAACTGAATAACTGGTGACACTGGGATTATTTTGATGACTGAAGTTAAGTGATGAAGGCTTCGATTTGTAGTTTGGCACCTCAAGCTGATACAGACCATCCTTAAGCATCCCTTGCAGCAGAATTCTCTTCGTTTGCAGGTCCTTAACAACACAAAAATCAGAGTAAAACTCAATGAACACACCATTATCATTTGTCAATTGTGAAACACTAATCAGGTTTTTCTTAATTGCAGGCACGTGAAGCAGTTTTTTCAAGTTAATTGTCTTATCACTCATAGTAGGCAAGTATTTGTTTCCAACATGAGCAATGTGCAGTGAGTTACCATTACCAACAACTAACTTTTCCTTACCTCCATATTTCTCTGCTGTGGTTAGGTTACCTTTGTCTGTGGTAACATGGCTACTTGCTCCAGAGTCTATGAACCAAGTAGAGTCATCAGCAATGTTGGGAGAAGCAAAGTAAGCAGACGTTGGTGCTGTTGGACTGTTGTTCTGATGTGTGTTGTTGTTTGGCTTATTTCCCATATACCTCTCATCATATCTGTTAAAACACCAGCTAGCTGAATGGTTGTTAAGTCCACAGATTTGACACGGTCCTCGACTATCATTTGCTCTGCCAAACCTTCCTCTGCCTCTAGCTCTTCCTCTGAAATTTGATACTCTTCCACCATTACTAGTTCTGTAGGTTCTCGCACCACTTGACGCAGTCCTTTGTGTCAACTGAACACTAGAATGGCTGATATTCATTGATGATATGCTGTTTCTCACTTGATTGAGATGTTCCAGCCTGCTTTCGAAGGTCATTAGTATTGATGAGAGTTCATACCATGAAATATTATCTCTACCATTAATTTGCACCACAATGGGTGTATATTCATCATCAAGCCCTGCAAGGACTTGAGTAACCAGATCATTGTGATCTATCGTTTTTCCAGCAATCTGCAGATTGTCTGCCAGTTGCTTGACAGTGGTTAGGTACTGGTCCATAGTCATATTGCCTTTCCTGATTCGCTGCAATTCTCCAATCAGGAATATAACTCTCGATCTATTGAGGATTCCATAGCTTTCTTTGACTGCATTCCACAGTTTGCTCGACGTAGTACAGCCCATGACTCTCATAGCAATCTCTGGGGTCATAGACGAGTACAGCCACCCCATAAGGAGTTGGTCAGTTGACATCCACTTGCTATACTCTGGGTTTTGAGCTACTGTAATAGCCTCCTCTTCTTCTGGGCTTGATTGAATGCTAACGAATTCCTGTGGGCACGGTTTTGTACCCAGCAGATAACCTTCAAGATTATGACCTTTAATGATTGGCATAATCATGTTTTGCCAAAGTAGAAAGTTGTTTCTATCAAGCTTGATTGAAGGGGTTTGAGTAAGGTTCATCCCAAAGGGTGATGATTGATACACAGAGACCTCAGTTGGTAGTGTAGGATTCGCCCTTGGATTCATCTCAGTTGAGGCAGCTTGGCTTGCTGTTCCTGTTTTAGCCATTGGCTCTGATACCAAATTGAAAAACTTAACTAAAAGAATTTGTATAAGCTAAGACTTGATTTCAGTGAATTGAAAAACCTTTTAATAAGTATTACATAGAACCTGTATATATATATACACGAGTGAAGAGAGAGATATGCTAAACAATATTCCCTTGTACCCTATACAAGATTGCCAAGTGTATAACAAATATTATTCTCCCACTCCTAGAAATAAGGAGTGATCCAAGCACTGAGAAACAGAATATTGTACCAGCTCGTGAGTGAGGAATGTGGTATCCATCATGACTGATTAATTTGTTGATTAATTTTAACTATCTGATCCATACAGACGATCAAACAGTCCTTGAGCATGCATGCGAGGCACTATACCATCTAACTTGTGGGGAAATGGATATGAAACAAGCTGTGATTGATGCTGGTGTTTTCCCTCGTTTGTTCGAGCTTTTATTGTCAGTGAAAAAATCCTACTAGATATAGTTCCTTTTTTAAAGTTTTTACTTTGCTTTTATTTATTGAACTTCATACTTGTGCTTATTTGGTTTAATGGTTCACAGAGATCGTGCATCATATATTTCGTCTCCTGCCCTGCGCATCGTTGGTAATATTATTTCATATGTAGACGATACCCAGATTCAGGTATCATCTGACTCTTGAGCACATTAATTTGTTATGTGATATATTCATGATCCATATATGTTCAGTTTTGGTACAATGCTTATAATACATTTGAAGCGCATACCTTCGTTAGGAATCCAAAAAACTGTACAAAATTCAAAAGTTACTATCTGAAACTCATTAGTTGAATTTGTAAATGCCAAGGGTGTGGCTCCAAGTATCATCCTGAGAAATTAACCCTGTGATTAAGGACGTCAAGGAGTGTTTACCTTTTTTACAAACTTGCTTCTGTTGAATGATTTCCAGGTTATCATTGATAATGGGTATCTTCCTTGCCTGTGTGAAGTGTTGAATGATTACTATTACGATGAAAAGGCCAAGGAGGCCACTTGTCATATCATTTCAAATATAATTGGACGGACTAAGGATCATATTCAGGTATGCAAATTACTATGGAATTGTTTTTGCCTTTGTGGCATTACTCTATGCATTCATAATTAATGCTTTGAGATAAATAAGTATCAAATATTGTTTTGAACATCGAGAGTGATGATTTTTCTCTTGCAGTCCTTCAAATTTTTTTCTCGTATTAGTAACTCTGTTTGTTGAATTTGACATTTGTTCTGTTTTTGTTTGTAATTTGAAGTCTTCCATTAAATCCGTTTATCTTACAAAATTAAGGATGCTGAGGAGGTGCCATCCTAATACTATAGGAATTTAAGGGTACATAAGACGATTAAAATGTGCGAATTGGAAAAAGTCTTCAATAAGTGCATCGATTGGGTGCGACTTTTCAAGTGAAAGAGTCACCTAATTCCATTTTCTTCAATTCAAATCAATTCCAAATAATTGATTTCCAATTCTTTCCTTATCCAAATTATGTTAAAATAACTTTCTAATTATTTTTTGGTTTCGTGTTCAATATTTAGTATTATATATCTTCCGTTCTAAAAGAGTATAGTCAAGTGTTGGTTATTTCGATAAATTAATATTGTATTATATTAATTTTAAAATAAGCATTCTATCTTAGGAGACAAACGTCAATTTGATCCTATTAGTATCAGTGTAGGGGACAAAATCCGTCTTAAGAAGATTTGTATTTGCATGTCTTGCTTTATTTCATCTCCTTCTAATTTTTGTATTTTCCTAAATGTCAGTAAGTCATCGTTTTACTTATTTTTCATGTACGTATTTTGATTTCCGTAAGTCAAAATATTATTCGATAATTTGGATGTCAATAGCAACTTAAATCATGCATGTAAATACAATTATGCACTAATGTATCGAACAATCTTAGGACATATTTTCATGCTAATTTATATATTGATGTCAAAATCAGTTCACGTGGATGCACCGTTTTAGTTTGTGTTTGCTTTTTGACTTCTACTTATTTCATAAATTCAAATATTCAATAACTAACATAATTACACAAACTAACAGCAACTACTCTACTTAATTCTTAAATTCAAATATTCATGAATAAGACTTATTAGGATTGAACACACAAAATAACGAAATCAACTTTAAAAGTGCACCAGTCACAAATCACAATCCTAACATTTTCCTTTCAATGAGAAATCAAAATTATACACTTGACAAAACAAGTAAACATGCATTATGCATAAACCAGCTTGAGAATTGGGTTTTAATTAGTTGGGCTTGAGAATTGAGAACTTAGGTTTTGGATTGGATTTTGGCTATTTATTTATTTAAGTAACTATTGGATTTTTTGTTTAGATCTAAGATTTTTGTATGGTTGAATTTTAAAGTGTAAGTTATTTGCTCAATATTTATTAATGAAAAAAAAAAATAAAAAATTTCAAAATTTTGNTAAGTTATTGGGTCAATATTTATTAATGGAAAAAAAAAATTTCAAAATTTTGCGGGGGAGGGGGGGGGGAACTGAAAAATACATTACAAATTAACTAGAAATAGTGTACCGTGGACAATGTTGGGGGGGGGCGGTCGCCCCCTCCCGCCCCCTAGCTCCGTCCCTGGTTCATACATAATACTAGTTTACTTAAACGTTGTATTAATTGCATGATGAGAGCATATTCTTAATTCTAGAATTGATATTGTAGATATGTGAAAGAACTTTCTCTTTAATTTTTCTTCGATTTCTTGGTAAACTCAAAAAGATAATGAAGCATCTGGATTCTAATTTTCTACTCGTTCTAGTTAAAGAGATGCATGCATTAGTAGTGAAATTTATTTACACTTCTCGAATTGCAGAATTTGAGTAGTGGCAAGGGGTTGTTGGGGAATAAAGCAATGCCTGTTATATGTATTATAACTTCCCTCTTTGAAATTTGGTGGCTAACCATCGTCTCTCCTTTTAAGAAGTGCAATTTCTTGAATTTCATTTATTAACCACAACGATAAATCAAATGGCAGTAACCATTAGGAACTCACTGGTGAAACATCACTAGGCTGATGGGTTTAGAGGAAGTGAATGTTGGTGATTTGGTTATGTGGCGTAATTTTAAAGGAGTTGTGCACACTATATGATTAATTTCATATGTACCCTAAGGTTGTGGGATAGCATTTCTCCATAGTATTGTGTGTTTTTTTGTCTCGATGAAAGCACTTCGAAGTTTGAACTCCTTCCAATTTCTATGATGCAAATAAGTGTTGTCTACCAAATATTGGATAGGATAATTCATGCTTTTAATGACGACTGTATCTTGTAAACAATACAAGTGGAATATTGTAGTATACTCTTTATAGAACATCACCTATGTGAGTGTGTCATGAACTTGGCCAGTTCTATAAGAGTTTTACTTGTGCAAATTCTCTAAACACTTGCAAAACCAAGAAGATTCATGGCCAAAATAATGAACACAATAGAAAATCAAAGTTTGATATGATATATAAGGTGTTCGATCTATTGTTTAGACTTGCAATAATGGTTGAAACGTTGCATTTGCTTATTAGCCAAGTGAGTTCGATAGATTTTTACTAAGGAAGATTCAAAGAAAACGTGACCGAACCTAGTGCATTATATTTCAGTTGTACTGAGTCGACTTCTTCCATTCACGTGGGGGATTGTTGGAATTTAAGGGTATATAAAAAGATTAAAATGCGTGAATTTAAAAAAAAAAAAAATCTCCAATAGGTGCATCGATTGAGTGCTACTCTTCAAGTGCCAAATATGCGTAACAAGGAGTAATGACCGCTGACAAAGGTATGACCTAGAACATCAATCTTGAAATGGTGAGATTTAATGGTTAAAATAATTTGTGCCAAAAGATGCGACCATTCGAAGAAATACATGAAATCTTTGAATTGGATCCTCTTAATTCATTTTCTTCAATCCGAATCTATTCCAAATAATTAATTTCTAATTCTTTCCTTCTCCAAATTCTATCAAAATAATTTTCTAATTACTTTTTGAATTTTCTGTTCGATATTTAGTATTCAATATCTTCCGTTTTAGAACAGTATAATCAAGTGTTAGTTCATCCGATAAAATTAATATTATGCTATATTAATTTTGAAAGAAACATTATATTTTGAGAGATAGACCTTGTAGCGTCCCGAGTTCCGTTAACTAGGATTGCCACGTCATCGTCTTTTGCCCTAATTTTTAATAATCAAATTTGCGGAAATAACCTAATTTTTTTTCAAAATCACATTTGTAATTGAAAACTTCATTGGCAAGAAAACTCATTTAAATAACATAGGATAATTGTTTTCAAATTTAGATCTCATGTCTGTGGAATACTGGAAATGACAAATACGTTAACAATGTTCAAATACGTAAATTTCAAAACTTAATAATTCCGACAATCAAATTTCGTGCCACCACTGCCCATCAATCACGATCGCCTCCGAAGTCTGCAAATATTTTAAAAATAACGGAATGAGTATTTCGAAGAAATACTTAGTGGACTCATCGCCGATAATTAATTTACAGAATAATTGAATACACACTTATGCAATATACAACGTGACATCATCATCATCTTTGGCTCATTTTCTTGAAAATCATATGCTCTTTAAAATCATAGTATGTGGGTAGTCTTTCTCGTGCATTTAAAGCACATAAGTTATGGCAAACATAACAATATCATATATCTCATATGACATATTATCATCTCATCTCATTTTCTTGAAAATCATGGGCTCTTGAAAATCATAGGGTGTGGGTAGTCTTTCTCGTGGATTTAAGCACATAAGTTATGGCAAGTATAACAATATCATATATCTCATATGACATATTCTCATCTCATCTCATTTTCTTGAAAATCATAGGCTCTTTAAAATCATAGGGTGTTGGTAGTCTTTCTCATGCATTTAAGCACATCATTGGCTCATTTTCTTGAAAATCATAGGCTCTTTAAAATCATAGGGTGTGTGTAGTCTTTCTCATGCATTTAAGCACATAAATGCATATAAGTTATGGCAAGCATAACAATATCATATATCTCATATGACATATTCTCATCTCATGCATTAAAGCATATAAATCACGTAAATTCACATAAAGTATGCAATTATAATTTAAACTAATTAATGGTGGCGAGTCTACCTCAATAATCTCCAGTTATGTGCAAAAATGGAGCGGAAAGTAATCTCAGGCTCTTAATCGTCCGTACGTTTCGTCTAACCAAAATAGAAAATGAGTTTTGAATTAGTATTTCGAAACTTTAAAGTTTTAAAACAATAAAATAAAGTTTAGGGACTTAATTGAAAATTTTGAAACTGAAATAAATAACTTAAAATGATAAAATAAAGTCCAGGGACTTAATAGAAAATTTATTAAACTGAAAATGAAAAATTAAAGAACTGAAAGTATATTTTCTAAAATAGGGGACTGCCTGAAGGAAAACAGAATCTCCAAGGGCTATTTTGGTTAACTTTTAAAACTGAAATTTAAATTAAAAATAACTTAAGAACTGAAACATGAAATTTCCTAAACTAGGGGACTGAAATAAAAGACTTTTAAAACTTGAGGCTAAAGGGAGAATTCTAATAAAAATCAAAGAGAGGAGAGGGTGGCGACGAGAGGGGCTCTGCCCCTTTCCCAATCCGACAGTCGGCCAGACGGTCAGCGCCGGCGTGAGTGTGAGTGCGAGTGCGTGCGACTATGGGGGGATTGGGTATAAGGAGTGAGGCTAAAACGCGGCTTGGGGAGTTCAATTTCCATTCGGGTTTGACTAAAATGAGGTAAGTCTCGGGGTTTTTCTTATTTCTTAGTTCTTGAACCTGTTTGGGTGTTGATTTTGGGGTTGGTGGTTTGATTGATGATGAGTTGCCGTGTGTTGGTGGTTCTGGGTTCGAACGGGTCTTGGTTTTGGAGCTGTCGATTTGTGACTAACTGTGGTTTTGGTGTTGTTCTTGGGAGGTGTTGTTCGGTTCCTTGAGTTGGTGTTTTGGAGGTTGAGGAGGTGGTGGTTGCCACGGTTTGGACAGTGGCGTTTGGGTGAGCTGCTGGGGGTGTTGGTGTCGTGGTTTGGGGCTACAAACTTGGGCAGTGTCTTGGCAGTGGCGTGTTGGTGGTGTGCGCTCGATTTTTGGTGATTGGTGTTGAGCAGTGAGTTGGTTTGGTGGTGGTGTTCGGTTGGTCTCGTGAGTTGGAGGTGGTGATGGTTTGCAGCTCGTGAATCTCTGGTTGATGCTAGAAATGGATGTTCTAGCATCAATATTGAGTTCACTGTAAATGGATTAAGGAGCATGCTTGGAGAAGATGAGATTTTCTTACCAAATGGATTGCTTGGCTGCGTGAATTTCTGATGATGGGAGTGGAGGGAAATGGAATGAATAAAATAGGAAATTCTAGGGCACAAATCCCTAGGTAATAATTGGGCCAGAAAGTTGGGCCTAGAATTTGGGCTGTAGTGTATTCCAATTGGGTTTAGGC